GACGCACTCCAGCCCGGGCCCTACCAGGTGACGACAGGCAGGAGAACCCCGAATGCTGCAGGGGAGGCTGCTGTGCCCTGTGGCGGGGGAGCTCCCAGCAGGCAAAGGGGAACCACGACCCTGTCGTTCAAGGGCACGAGGGTCACCACAATGAAGGCGACTCCCCAGACCCGCTCGCGCACCACAGGACGGAAGTTTCTGGAGCAAAGCCCTTGTCCTGTTGACTGCTGCACCTGCAGTTACTAGGACGGCGGCTGGCAGCGCGGGGGGCTCCGAGAAGACTGTTGAACAAGCTGCCAGGTCTCCGTGGCTCAGCTGGAAAACCCATTGTTCCCATGTCGGGAAAGAGTTCACTGCATTCGCTCGTTCGGCTTATTTTTTTCTTTTTCTTTTTCATTTACCCTTAAGGTGTGTGTAGAGGCTGCTATTTGTAGGGACCACAGTGGGATTTTCAGCCGCTGTGCTCACGCCGGAAGCTCGGTCGCTAAAGCCTTCGAGGTCGCCCATGAACAGTTTAAAGAACGACACAGACTGAGCATCAAACTCGAATCTCCGCGTTTCTGTTAATACACAGAAAGAATCGAATCTGCAGTGTAAGGGGGACGATAAACAAAGGCTGTAGAAAGCTGGTCTCTGACTCACACCCCTAAGGTCTGGGCTGCGGTCCTGCTCAAAGCACGGATGACCACAGGACGCAGCGAGGGGACGAAGTGGTTTCAGGAGAGGCCGAGGGGGATGCACGAGACACGGAGTCATCTCTGTCTCCGCAGCTGAAAAGCTCAGCGACCTCCCAGCACTGAGCTCGAGTCCGTGATCCCCTCTCAACTGCAACGCCCGCGGGTGCCGGCCGGGGTCCCCGTACTCGTCCAGGTCTCCCTCCGTCTGCGTCGGCAGCCAGAGAAAATGTGTTTGAAAACCCTTTGATGGCAGAATCGTAGACGGAAATGTGCCATTTCCTTCTCTGCCGTGGGTCCGGCTGCCGTCTCTGCCTTCATGTCTCCATAGCAACCAGAATTCAGGTTGGGGACCAGCGGAACGCCTTGTCTGCTACGGATTTTTAATAACCTCTCCCTCCCCCTCTCTCATTCCAGTTAACTAATTTCAGATAAATAATGGATGGCAGATAGATAGATAATAGATAGATGATAGATAGATGATAGATGGATCCATCCAGTTTTACGATCCTCAGTCACAGCTCTAGTGGCAATACCTTCTGGCCCGGAATTCATTAACATTTGCCACGAATGTCACCTCCGGCCAAGCTCCTGAGATCATTCCCAAGTCAGCATGTCACAGACCTGCCCACTGCTCTGCTGCCGAAGGCCTCAGCCTTGGGGACCTGACGCAGGCGGGTGGCAGGCTGCGTCCCAGCTCCACGAGCCCGGGGGGGCCGTTTGTAACGCAAACACAAAGCATGAAGAGAGACAAGAAATACAACGAACGCTTCAGCCACTGAACAGACACCGCCACACAGCCGCCAGCCGCCACCCAGAACACAGCCTCCCCACGACCCCTGTCTGCCCTCGTCCCTCCTCGTTCCGTTGGAGACCATCACCGTCCTGAACTTCACTTCCATCCATCTCTCGTGTTTCCTTGTAATTTCACCACACGCGCGAGTCTCCTCAGCACCGTTTTATTTTGACCTGGTTGTGAACGTCCATAAATAAAATCAGTGTCTGTGGGTTCAGCACCCCCCCCCCCAGTTCTCCAAGGCTCACTGCCGAGTCGTATTTCCGTCTGAATGGGCAACAACGTCCGTCCTCGTCCTGCTGGGACGGGTGCATGCGTGTCCCAGGACGCGGGGATCACACCTGCTTCGCGGGGACCACGCGGGGACCGGCCCACGGGCGGGGCGTCGAGGGAGGGCGGAATGTTCCCGCAGGCCCAGCAGACAGGACTCTGTGTCCCGGGAGCTGCGTTTCCCACTGTGCGTCCTCCCAGACCCGTGATACTGCGCAGGTGTGGGCAATGCTGCTCCCTTCGGGGTCACAACAGGTCAATTTCCAAATCCTGACGACGCAGAACTCGTTTCTGTCTTCCTTCTGCGGTTCCCGTCCGAGGTGGGTGCTCACACCTTCTCCGCTGCCTTATTTATTTTTTTATTTATTTTTTTGCTTCCCCCCCCGTGAGGTTTGTGAAAATATTTATAAACACATACTATTACACTGAGCTGTGCTGACTGGCAAGTATGCTTTTCCCTCTCTTCCTGGGGTCTTGGGTGAAGAGAGGATCTAAAAATCAAATGTAGTCGAATGTTCCTTCGATTTCCTGAACGGAGCTTCCGTACGTCTTGCTGGAGGAGTTTTCCCGACCCTGACGTCAGGAACAGTGTCCACTTTTCTTTCCAACATTCAAACCACTTCTCCCTTCACAGGGACGCCTTCGGGGTGCCTGGGAGGAATCTTCCCCGCGACGGGGGAGGACCCGGAGAATGTCGTCCACACGGACGCTGAGCTCTGTCCGGCCGTCAGTGTGGACAACAGGAAGGAGGCACATCCGGCTGGCTCCGCGCACTGCGCAGAGCTGCCGCTTGTCTCTGGGCCCCGCCATCCGCGGGCCTGCGGACAGCCTGCCGGCGGGTGACACAGTCGTCACTGCGGCCAGTGCCCCGAGGGTCCTCACTCTTCCCGAGACTCCACCCAAATGCCCCCGTTCCTCGGACTCTTGTCCACCAGCGGCTCCCCGTCCACAAACGGACCAACGGAAACAACCTGCAGAGATTTCTGCTCAGTCTGTGAGCCGACTCGCGGAGAACTGAGATCCCAGCTCCCCCGGGTCTTCAGTCCACGAGAAAGGGGTTCCCCGTGTACGCAGCCCTTTCGAAAGCGTGTTCCGTAACCCAACCCTCTCAGCCGCCAGGCCCGCCCAGCTCTCTGTCGGGCTTATTTTCTGTCGTCGTCTCCTCCACCCTCTGCGACCTCACTGTGACCGTAGGTGAGTGAGTTCATTTCCACCTTAACGCGATGACACCTAATAAGCGGATGTCATTAACTGTCATCCCCTCTTTTCTAACATATATTCATTTTTTTATTGATTTTTCCCCCTTTTCTGAGAGAGAGAGAGAAACATCGATGTGAGAGAGAAACATCGACTGGCCGCCTCCTGCACGCCCCCTACTGGGGATCGAGCTCACAGCCCGGCCTGTGCCCTGACGGAATCGAACCAGGACTTCTCGGTCCATGGACAACGCTCGGTCCACGGAGCCACCCCAGCCGGGCTAAGATAAGTTCTCCGGATGAAAAGCGCTCTGAGCAAGTGTCATTGTGTGGAATTTCCACTTCGTCACTTCAAAAATATATCCCAGCTCCTTTGCCATTTCTCAGGGGACCGAGGTTCCTTAGAAACACGGTCATTACTGTGCAAAGAGACGTGACTCTTCTTTCTGTTACTGATTCCTCACTTAACTGCATCCGGTCATGCTTTGTTCCCAGCTAGTAAGTCACCAGACACCCGGAGGGCGCCCTCTGTGGGTTTAAAACGGTGCCAGGTGGCACCACGGTCATCGGCTGGGCCTTTCGATCTTCCCTGTGCTGCTGACGGTTTCTGCTGCTCGGGCCCCCCGCTGATGACAGGACAGGGCACAGTCCCCCCACTGTTACGATCCATCGGTCTGTGCCTCGGTCTGGCTGCGTTGTTGGTCCACACGCTGCACTGGTGTGTGTGCCTCGTGAGCGCCCCCAGGAGCCTCCGTGCACCAAGGTCCGTGGCCCCACCGTGACCCGGCCACACCTGCTCCAGGAATCGCTTCTCCTGGGGTCTCGCTCCCACCTTGCAGGGTGCCGATTCCACGGCCTCGCGGCGGAGGCCCCAGGTGGTAGGCAGTTCCCCGCTGCTTTTTACTAACGTGGAGCACGTATTCCATTTGCTCTTATCTCCAGTCAGTGATAGCAGCCTGAATCCGTTTACTTTTTACATGTCTGCTCATCTCGCCTTCTCTCTGGTTTCTCTCCTTTTCCTTCTGCTCCCTCCCACCCCACAGACCGACCGCCAGTCATTTCCGGTGTGCTCCCCGCCTAACTCGGCGGTGACACGCGTGGGGTGCGGAATCTGACCTGACCTGCGTTCTCTCTTCCGCAGTCACCACACCAGGCCCGCCGGCTTCGGGACAAGGCACAGGTGTCGCTCTCCGCGTGTGTCTGGGGCGCGGGTGCGTCTTCTTCCTCCAGACCCTGCTCCCCGTACGACGCTCTTTGGGTGGCGCCGTGTCCAGGCCCCGTGAGACGACAGTTACACGGCAGCTGAGGGCAGATCTGTCCGTGAGGACTTCTTCCGTGAGCCTGTGGTGGGACTCATGGTGCTGAGCCCAGGAGACGGGGGAAGATAAACAGCCCATCGCGACGTTGGTTAGCCGGGGTCCCACACCAGAGGCCGACCAGGGTCGTGACGCAGTCTTAGTTTTGGTGAGAACTGTGGGTCAGCGACACCCTTCGCAGTCCAGGACGACTGTCCCTGCAGACGGGACTCAGGGGTACCAGTCCCCGCTCCCCTGCAGACAGACGGCACGCCGAACGTGGGCGGGCTTTAGCATTTGCCCTGGGCCACGGGACGGACTAGAAGTTGTCCCAGACCAGACCCTGTGGCCCCCGGTCCCAGGCTGCAGCCACAGGACGACAGCGGGTGCCAAGAAGCTGTCTGACGCGCGGCGCACTGTGTGATTACGGGGTCACCTGTGCTAACACAGGCCCGAGGATACTGGCAGTGCCTGTAGCTGGCTGAACCCAACGAATAACAGTGTGACCTCATTCCCACCACGGGGCAAAGCGGACACCATGTCTTCCCACACCAGGCACAGGGCACTGGATGGAGAGCAGCGACCTCCCACGGCGTTCAAGGTCATCCACTTCTAAGCATCACTGCAAGAGAACGTCCTTACGGGTAAAATATAAGCCACGCAGAAGCTGGTAAAGTCACGAATGAGCTATTTTCTTACGCCCCGAACAGTGCCCACCTCCCGCCTGGCCGAAACACGTGTGAGCTGGACTCTCCGCGCGGATACTCACTGGGGACTATGAACTCGATTTCTTCCGACATCGCGACACCCAGCGTGTTCGCAGCGAAGCAGCGGTATTTCCCTTGGAAATGAGCTATCTGCCCCTCGTTCGAGATCCGGAAGGTCCCTGAGTTGTTGGACACAACGACCCGCGGGTCGGAGAGGTCAAAGGGCTTGTCGTCCTTAGTCCACGTGAATCTGTAACAAAAACTCGGCTTAATATTGTGGAAAAAATCATAACGTGTCCCCGAGTATTTATACACACATGCGCAGAAGTGACAAAACCTTGACATTTAATCCAGGGCAACAGGGATGTCTGTCTGCTGGGCCCTAACAGCCGACGTCGTACCAGCTGCTGCCGTCGGGAGGCCCACCTCCCCCAAGTTCACGTGTGGGGTGTGCTAGGAGGTGGGGGCCGCGGCGCTGCTGGGGTTGTGAGGGGGGGTCCTCACGAGTGGGGTCAGCGTCCCTCTCAAAGGGAGCACGTCTGCCCTCGCCCCGCAGACATGAGGTTACAGACAGGGCACAGTGTCTGGGAGCCAGCAGTGTCCTCGCCAGATGCCACGGCCAAGGGCGCTGGGACCTTGGCCCTCACGCCCCCAGAACAGCGGGAAACCAGTGTCTGTGGTAAAACCCCCCAGTCTCTGCTCTTCTCATCCTATCAGCTCAACGGACTGAGGCAGACGGACAGCGTCGTCGCCGAGAGAATACACGTGAAATTGGCCTGTTCTGTTCCTCCTGGTTAAAGCCACCGTTTAATCTTCCCAGTTAGAGAGGAATGCGTGATTTCCACCGATATTTGGGGGACTGCGATCAATGTCACCTATCTGAGACCGCGTGAATACATAATTTGCTCACTGAATTTTCTAGTCATTACAATGTTAGTAGGGACCACCTGCCATCACGTGGTCACTATTTAAATCACCCCACTGTTTCCACAGTTCCCCTTTTCCAGCGGTGCTGGGAGGAACCATCCCCATTCCGTTTGGCACGTGTCCAACTAGTTCTTTAGGCCAATTCCTGAGACGTGAGATTGACAGACTCCTAGCACAGGAAAAACTCTCATATCTTCTGAAAAATGTTGCGAATTGTATCACGCAAACATATACACAGTCCCAGTCCCACTCCAGGGTGTGAGCGTGGCAGAGTCCGGGCAAGGCTGGGACGGCCTCTCATCTCTTCATCGGTCTAATGGACACACAGCGACTTCCCCTTGGGTTCCATTCAGCATTTTACCCAGAAACAGCCCCGTAAACTTGAGTAGACCAGGACCCCGTTTCCTCGCGGCAACCTGTCTGGTTATTCTTCAGCAGCCACGGAACCATCATGAGCCCATGTTTGTTCCGAGCGTCTGCCTTCTCCTCCCACAATCTCTCTTCCCCTCTCTCTGCATCTCTCTGTATTTTACGTTTATTGGATCCACGTCCCCCCAACACCAAGAATCTCCTCTTTTAAATCCCAGCGTGGTGACTGGGGTCACTCCAGGTACCCAGAACTGAACATTTCCACTCAGTGATACAGGACGTCATTCTAATGCCCTCTCATGGTCTTTTGTAGGATTTCCAAAACACCCCTCCCCCCATTTAGATCATTTAGTTCTTGTTACTATTATAACGATTACTACAGGAATTACATGACTCCAATTACAATTACAGAGGGTTTTTATATTGTTTTTGTAGATGGCCCCAACAGGAACTGTTGATATCGCTGGGTCGCTTCTTTTGCTATTGTAATGGAATATTTCCTTCCTTCATGTTTTCTAATTATTTTCTGTTTGGTGTCGGCATCGAATTACTTTTTTTTTTTTTTAATGATTTATTTATAACTGACCACTTAATGCAACCCTTCCTATATATAAGACCCTGCTTCTTCCAGAGGATTTTCTTGGGCTTTTGGAGAGAATATCTAATTATAGAATAAAAATATGTTACTATTAATCATATTTTCCAAAATTTGTAGTATTCATTTTCTTGCATAATCGGACTGGGCACAGCTCTAGAAAAATAAGCAATCGTTTTAAGAGAAGATATCTTATTCTTATTTCCTAATTTACTGGAAATGCTAGTTGTATTTCATAATTAAAGTCAATATTGAATATTGACTTGATAAACACATTTAATCATTCACCTCTGATAAATGTGTGGTGTTACCTTCTGCTCCAGTAATTTGGTTGTAGAATATTAATATAGATCCCATTGGCCACTGGGCCTCTTCTCCCTTTTCTATAATCCTACCTGTATTCAGACCCACTGATGGAATATACTCCATTTGGTGAAATCAGACACAGTGATACATTTACACGTTAATGACTCACAGCAGATGACTTGTGAAATATCGAGCTGTCTGGCAATAACAATGTCGGTGACAATACAATTTCAAACAACACCTTTCCACTGACTACGTGTCTCTGTAACGGATATAAAACCACCAAGCAGGTCGATAAAGCTACGCAGCTGTGCTGAGCATTGAAAATCGCCCAGAACTTAAAAATCTGGAATTATTCCCATAGCCTGCCCCTCGTCACTCCCAACAGACACACATTTCTTTCTGCCCCAACACAGAGGGCACTTTGAAGAAACTTCCACAGTGATTATAATGACCTAGAGTAACAAGTAGGTAATTCATAAAAAACATGTAAACACATAGACAGTCTTCTGCTCTCCGGATGAGTGAATATTTATATGACAGCTTAGAAACTATCAATAACCACCTATTCCCTGAATAATGCATGTGTTGCATTTAAAGACATGCACTAATTAACGGGATGCCTGTCGTCTATGAACATGTTCACTCTGGGCTTCGTCGATGTGACCTTCCACTCAGTGAATAACGAGTCTCCGATTCTGTTGACCTTGTTCAAGTGTCAGGTGAGGAACTGTTGAATATTTGCATGAAGCCCGAGCTTCTGCCAAGTGTGTAATACCAGACGATTTATTTTAGCATAAAAATCATTTCAACCTGCAGAAAAATCACCTGAAAAATAGCTGGACTTAAACTGTGTAGATGCAGCCCCCCGCCGGGTGCTCCTTACCTGAAACCGTGTGTGGACCCCCGTCCCGCAGGCGTACCGGGGCCCAGTGAGAAGGAGAAACGGCCCTTTGGGCACATCCCTCCGTGTTACTGGTTTCACGTCCCCCAAACACCCGGAAGGTACTCACCTGGGCTCCGGGTTGCCTTTAGCCTCACATTCGATCTGGAAGTATTCGTCAAAGGGGTAGGCAACTTGTTCTTTGGACTGTTTGGTGATGGTCGGAACCTGTTGAACTAAAGAGGGGAAACAGCGCGTCAAGAACACTCGTCAAACCCCGAGTGAGGCTGACGAGTTAACACAAGGGCCCCGCGCGTCCTTCTGCGTTGACAAGGGCACGGGCTGGAGGCCTGCCCGCCACAGAGCCACCGTGGCGCCCCCTGCGCACAGCGGTCGGACTCGGGGCGCCATTGTCTCAGGGGGCCCTGTGCCGTTCTCGTCAACCCAGAATAAAGCCCCTGTTCCCGAAGCAGAAGGACAGCTGCCGTCTCCCCCACCTGAAATGATCCAATTCGCAAGTCCCGGCACGGAGCCTGCGTGGAGGCGTCTGCTCACCTGGACTTCGTTTGGGCGTTGTGACAGTCTCTCTTTATTTTCTTTTTCTTGATGGTTTTCTAAGACATTATATTTCATTTACTGCGTCTACATGATTTCTTTCCATTGATATATGGTAACTTATGTAATGCTTTTCTCGTTATTGAACATTGAATTTTATTTTTCCAGATAGCATGTGCTTCAGTGAACATCCTCATACATTCTCCTTTTATTTTCTTAAATATGATTTTATTGAATTTTTTTTAGAAAGAGAGAAACATTGATCAGCTGCCTCCTGCCCACCCCCTCGAACCCACAACCTGGGCATGTGTCCTGACCAGGCATCGAACCCGGACCTCTCAGTCCGTGGGACAAGGCTCAATCCACTGAGGCAGGCCTGCCGGGGCAAGTGCTCCTGTGATGAATCAGAGACTCGTGACGCCCCCAGGCGCGGAGGAGTCACCGTCCGCCTTGTCCACGCAGGTGCTGAAACAGCCACAGGAAGGAGCAGAGGACCTGGTGTTGTTACGCCGCCGATTCCCTCCACGCAGATTCCTGGGTCACCCCCAGAAGGCTGAGAGGAATGTCCTGCTCTCGAGGAGGACATTTAATCGAAGCCGTGATGTTTACCCTCATCGACAGGAATGATCTTAAGCAAAACGGTGTTGTCTTTGTTTCTGTTTTCCTGCGCGTCTGTGGTTGTGAAGAACACGTTTCGTCTGGTCCACGTGGAGCCAACACCCTGCTCTGGGTGGACAGTACCATTCACCCCATCGCTGTGATGACACAGAGGGAGTGTGCACAGTCAAAAGTCAGCATGACGTCCAGCATCACTGCGAAAGGTCTGAGCCCACGGACAGCCAGTCTGTGCCTCGGAGACCCCGAGAGGTCCGCCCACGGGTCACCTGTGATCGATGCTCAGCCCAGAATAATAACTCTGCGCCACAGCCAATTTTTAAATTCAATTTTCTTTACTTTTGCCTAATGAATCCAATAATTGGGTTTTAACAGCTTAGGGACATTAGCCCAAGTTCAGGCTTTACCCACTGGGTATTAATAAATATTCTAATAACATGGAAAAAACATCCATCGCTCCATTGACATTGACCCTGTTTCTGATTACGACTGTGTCTAAGCAGAGCAGATCTTGTAAATTCGTACTGTTTCCGTTGACGACAGCGACAGACGGTGAGGGGGCTGCGTCGCGGCCACGCCCCGGGATGAGCACGAGTGACGTGGATACCTTGCTCAGGAGGGCCTTCTTCTTGCCGAAACTCGCGAAGGCTGTGAAGTCTCTAATTATTCAGGGAAGGGAGTGCGTAACCTTTGGCCGCCTGTAAGAATATATATTCTTCACTCTGACTCCGTTCTCCATAATGAGGCCAATTACGGAGACAGCAGACAGGCTGGCATTCAACACCGGCCTCTCTTCTGCACGGGTGAGCCGCAGACCTGGGTACACGTCCACGCGCTCTGGACACACGCCGGGAAAGCTTCATGACGGTTGTCCGCAGACAGCGCGGGGACACGCACAGCCGCGGAGACCACCAGGATGAAAATGAGAGCCGTGTGTGACGACAGAATTTCACCCCGTCACCGCCCGTGACCCTACTGAGGGAGGACGCGGGTGTCAGGACTGCGAGTCAGGGATGTCACTGGGGAACGTGTGAAATTATTAACCCCTTCCTCCCCGGGATCACCGAGAGCGTCGCTGTGAATCAGGTGTGGCCCACTTGAAGCAAAAGGATCTCCCGACGATGCGTGTGAGGCTGTCACCAGAATTCCTGCAGCGAGCCCGCAGCCAGTGTGTGAGCTGCGGGGTATCCGCTGGCCTCAGAGAACCTCCCCTGCGCGCTCAGAGCGGGTCGGTGGGTTCCAAGCGGGGGTCTTGGCAGCAGAGTTTCTGTCCAGGAGAGTGGAGACGGGCCTCACCGGCCCCCGACGTGTGACATGACGGCCGCGTCGTGTACTTTAGGGGAAGTGCCCCGAACACGCTCTGTGACAGAGCGACTGCCTCTCTGTCCACAGGCTGAGCCTCCGGAGGACGTGTTTGGTTCAGGGTGAGCACCTGTAACGTGAGCTCCACTTGGAGGCCGAGGCGGAGTCTCCAGAGCTCAGACGGTCGGGAAGCCATCCCCAGTGCTGATCTTGAACGTGTTACAGATGTCCCCCCTTTCCCCCACGGACCCAATGCTGAGATTCGGATGAACAGCCAACCCCTCTTGTTTATGACCCAAAACTACGGAAACACGGTCGGGTTGATGTTTGAACTTCATGGACAAAATATCAAAATCGCCTCTTAAGGGAGTTTTATGTCCCTTTAGTTACAACACAAGATACATTCCCAAATTGCTACCCGACAGGGTTAACCTACTGCTACATACCCTGTGTCTGCAGACACATCATTGTTTCGACTTTTTTTTTTATTTTTTAACTTTGAATTACTCGAACTTATTTAAACGAATTCACGATTTTTAAAAATTGGCATTCGTTTTTACCAACGTATGCTGAGATGTATGCGTCCATAAGACCACTACCTACCTCTTGACGTAAATTCACACTGCACACACTTAGAACTGCAGCGGATACCATCTGATACCATCTGATACGTTTATTCGTACACTATGAAAGTGGCTATTTAATATCTTCCTCGTTGAAAAGGAATGCCAAGTTTCAGGTCCTTTGTTAAATGTATCGATGTTTTTTAGAGAAAGAGGGGGTGGGAGAGAGGTTTGTTGCTCCGCTTGTGTTGTGTTCATTGGCTGATCCTTGCTTGCGCTCTGACCAGGGATCGAACCCGCAACCTGGGTGTGTCGGGACGACGCTCTCACTGAGGCAGCAGACATGTCGGGGGACAGTGTGCTGGGAAGTGCACAGAAACAGGGTCAAAAACGTCGCCTCGCGCTGTGCGTGTCCCTTGGAAAATCGAAATGCACACAGAAACCCTGCACCACAGGTGTCGGAGCTGCACGGTACCTGAAAGTGGTATTTCGGCGGCCGCGGCGAAGTCCAGCAGACAGGACATTAGGGCTAAGGTGAGCCCTGCTCCTCCGACGCGGAGCCGCCCCATCGCCGAGGGACGAGCACACCCAGGTGGACGCAGCTTCCCGGCTCCTCTGCCCTTTGGTTGAAAGCTGAGAAGGGGGCGCACCTGGGAGTCCAGAAAGAACAAACACGAATCAGAACAACGTAGACCCAAGCACCCTCCACGTCCCAGATCTAAGCGTATCTTCCTGTTGGCGACGACGCTCCGCACTAGGAGACTGCTCCCCGGTAGCGCCGCATCCACGGGCTCAGTGTCTCCTCTTCGCTAAGGCAGCACTTCTCAACCTGTGGGTCGCCAAGACCATCGGAAAACACGCATTCCCGGCGGTCTTAGGAACCCAGACGCCGCTCCGCTATGTCTCCAGGCGGGTCGCCCACACGCAGATGCGCCCACACACGACAGGAGGAAGGTATTACAGGGTCGCGGCGTGAGGAGCGTTGGGGACCACTGCTCTAAGAGACCCTGAGACCCGGGCCGTTGTACACCCGACCCCTCACGGTGGCCCCCATTCCCAGGGGTGCACGCCGCATACCAGCGCCCAGAGAATAACCTCACTCAGTCCATTAGCTTCTTCAGCCACGTGGGTCCAGCTCGCAGACCTAATCTCCCGTCATCCTGGCAAAATCACGTCTGCCACCCAAAGTGATCGCATTGCGGGGAGGTGCCACCGGGAGCGAGGGCCAGCGCTTGGACGAAAACGCACGGTCGGTGTTGCTGCATCAGAGCCCCCTCGGCCGCCTCGCGGAGCAGGTCCACGACTCAAAGCGCAGAGAGTGGAAGAAAGATCACAACGTCCGTGTTCCTGCATTTCCTCCCCAGTTTCACCGATTCGGAACACGGTTAGAACAGACTCCTAAACATTGTTTATAATGTAATAGAAAACTGATTTGCTCCCAAATGCAATAATTAGTTCCTCAGGTACGTAATTTTCTTTTTCTGTAAAAATCAATTACTCTATTTACTCACTTAGAAGTGATGGGGTGGGGGGGCAAATATAGAGTCAGACCAGGGTTTAAATGTATGTCCAGTTCCAAGGATCTGGGCTTTCTGTGGGTCACCTCCAGCCGCACAGGGGGGGACGGTGGGCGGCTTTACGACGCAGACAGCGGGTCCACGTTAAGCTGGGGCCCGGCGCCGCAGCCTTGCTGGCCTGTTTCAGGATCGGAAGGTCTGAAAAGCTACATTGATCAGGAGGGGAATACCCCCACCCCCCAAAAAGAAGATGGACTCTCTGTTCTTGAGGTGGAACAATGCCATTCACTCTATTTTGTCGGATCTCAGCTCGACCATTCTGAAAAATGGAAACTGGAAAAAGAAATTATCCTTGTGAGGTTCAAAATATTCCTTAAAAGGACTAATCGCTTACGTGGTTTCTAATGTGTCATTCTGTAATGAATTATTCCAACCAATGAAAAAATATGCTTAAAAAACCTGTTTTCATCAGCTTTTGTAAGGTGAAAAGTCTGAAGAAAACCGGCTGGTGTGGCTCAGTGGTTGAGCATCGACCCTGCACCAAGAGATCGCCGGTTCGATTCCCGGTCAGGGCACATGCCCAGGTTGTGGGCCTGATCCCCAGTGGGGGGCGTGCAGGAGGCGGCCAGTAGATGTTCTCTCTCATAGATGTTTCTGTCTCTCCCTCTCCCTTCCTCTCTCTCCAAAATCAATAAAGAAAAAATAAAGAAATAAAACACAGTAATGTCCATGCTTTGAATCCTCCTTTTCCTTCTCTCTCCTGACACACGTTGAGAACGGTCAAGCAAATTCGTGGATAGTTATACATCAGCCGTTCCCAGCCACCTGTTATTTAATCTTCTGTGCCATTAATATTCAATGCCGGTTTCTTAGGGGCGCCCGTGGCGGCTTAATGAGCTGTGTTCTCTCTGTGAGGAGGAAGCTGTCGAAACCATGATGCTATCAGGAGACCGTATTTCCAGACGAATTATCACCCACCCTGAAACAGAGACAAGATCACTGGGGACCTCGGGAGGGAGAGCAGGCTCGGCCGGCGTGGTCTCCTGATTCAGGCCGGGCCCCGACGACGACTTGCGAGGGTCACAGTGAAACAGCGCTCGGTCCGGCCTGCTCAGTGGGGCTGGACTGACCTCAGGACTCTTGCTCCCTAAGAAACCCCCTCCCACAACAGGGCGGGACGGGGAGCCCTGGCTGGAAACAGGCTGTAAGAGTCGGACGAACACCCGAGACCCGTCCGTGTCCAGCGTGTGACGGCGGTTCCTCCCCAGCTCAGCGTCTCCCCTGCGGGCGGGGCTGCCGCGCCTGAGACTGTACGTTAAGAGTCTACGACCTGAAAGCCACGGGAGTCACGGCAGGGCCCCTGCTAGCAGGACTTGGCAGGCGCACGGGGCGGGGCTGCCTCGACGTCCCCTCCCGGAAGCTCCGGCCCGGGGCGCTGGCACCGAACCGACGCGCGGTTTCAACAGCGCTTTTCTGCACGGGGAGCTTGACGCAGACGAGCAACTTCTATTCGCCGCAGGAAGCGATCGGTTATGACCGTGACGCCCAAAGAAAGCAGCTTTAAAAATAACTGAATGGGTGTATAGAGCAGCCAGGGACTCGCTCCAACTCAGTTGTTCAAGTTTTATTTTCTTTCCACACAGTCAGGGCTTGAGAAGCAGGAGCCGCCAAAGCCCAGTTCACACCCGACCTGCCGGCGAGGGCGGCGCCCTGTCCGCCACCTTGTCTTCTCGGGACCCTCAGGCTAGGGCCAACTGTCCCCATTCTGCGGGGGGCTAACTGTCCCCCAGGTCTGCAGGGGGCTAACTGTCCCCCAGGTCTGCAGGGGGGCCAACTGTCCCCCGTTCTGCGGGGGGCCAACTGTCCCCCGTTCTGCGGGGGGCTAACTGTCCCCCATTCTGCAGGGGGGCTAACTGTCCCCCATTCTGCAGGGGGGCTAACTGTCCCCCAGGTCTGCAGGGGGGCTAACTGTCCCCCAGGTCTGCAGGGGGGCTAACTGTCCCCCATTCTGCAGGGGGGCTAACTGTCCCCCATTCTGCAGGGGGGCTAACTGTCCCCCCATTCTGTGGGGGGCACACTGTTCCCCATTCTGCAGGGGGGCAAACTTTCCCCCCAGGTCTGCAGGGGGGCAAACTGTCCCCATATTCTGCAGGAGGCAAACTGTCCCCGTTCTGCAGGGAGGCAAACTGTCCCCATATTCTGCAGGGGGGCAAACTGTCCCCCAGTTCTGCAGGGGGGCAAACAGTCCCCCAGTTCTGCAGGGGGGCAAACTGTTTCCCAGTTCTGCAGGGGGGCAAACTGTTCCCCAGTTCTGCAGGGGGGCAAACTGTCCCCCAGTTCTGCAGGGGGGCAAACTGTTTCCCAGTTCTGCAGGGGGGCAAACTGTTTCCCAGTTCTGCAGGGGGGCAAACTGTCTCCCAGTTCTGCAGGGGGGCAAACTGTCCCCCAGTTCTGCAGGGGGGCAAACAGTCCCTCAGTTCTGCAGGGGGGCAAACTGTTCCCCAGTTCTGCAGGGGGGCAAACTGTTCCCCAGTTCTGCAGGGGGGCAAACTGTTCCCCAGTTCTGCAGGGGGGCAAACTGTTTCCCATTCTGCAGGGGGGCAAACTGTTCCCCAGTTCTGCAGGGGGGCAAACTGTCTCCCATTCTGCAGGGGGGCAAACTGCTCCCCCGTTCTGCAGGAGGGCAAACTGCTCCCCCGTTCTGCAGGGGGGCAAACTGTTCCCCATTCCGTGGGAGGGACCCACACATTTCCAGAAGCCAGAGTGTGATCTGAGTCACTCCACCCCAACCCGGGAAACTGGGAGGATCACAAAGCAAATGAAGAGGCTTTTGTTCAGTCTGCCTGGTGAAGACCATCAATCAATTTACAAGTGTCATAAACAGGTCCTGAGATAGCTGCTAACGGCTCTCCCCGGGAACAAAGGGACCTTGTGCCTGGTCCGGCCCCCAAAGGGAGGGCGCGGAGCCGGTCCCTCCGCAGCGCGGAGGCGGACTTCACTGCGAGCACGTTGGCTTCCTGGGGAAAACGTCGGCTTTAATTGATAACGACGTGGAATAAACTAATATCATGAATAACACACTGATTTCATTAAACCGCAGGACTGGTCGAGCGCCAACAGGAACGCAACCGCGCGCCGATAGCCAACGTCGCTGGTTCTCCACTGTGTTCCCTCGAACGCCCCAATCCTCGCTCCGACACGCGGCAACGACATGGCACCCGAAGTCTTTCCTGGGGGCGCAGGGACAGGCTGAGCCGCAGAGCCAGACCCCTTCCGCAGAAAAGGGAAATGATCTCACCACCTGGCGTGGGGTCACGTGGGACCGGTCCTCACACCTCACGCCCCAGTCATACTCAGCGAGGGATTTTGTTAATTGAGGAATAACACAGATGCACCAAAATACACAAGACTCGGGTGTACAGCCCAGTGGATTATTATTATTATTATTTTATCCTCACCCGAGGACATTTTTGCACTTATCTTTGGATAGAGTGGGAGGGAGAGAGGGGAGAACAGAGAGAGAAACATCGATGTGAGAGAGACACATCGAGTGGCTGCCACCCACACAACCTCAAACGGGGCCGGGGACAAACTGCAACCGAGGTACGTGCCCTTAGCGGGAACCGAACCCGGGACTCTCTGGTCCGTGGGCCGACGCTCTAACCGCTGAGCCAAACAGGCCAGGACAGCCCGGTGGATTTTAAGTCACTGAGCTCCAAATGCCCTCCTTCTCCTCCAACGAAAGACAACTCAGAAATTAGTGTCCTGACATGTGAAGTACACGTGGACGGGAAGAGGTACTGCATCGACCTGGCCCTTGCTGGGTGCGCTGCGGTGGTCAAGACGGACACAAATAGCGCTGTCAGCGAACCCCTCACTCACCAGCGCCCGCTGGGGGCCAAGTGTGCTCACAGCTCTGAGCGGTGCCGACAAGAGCCAGCCGGGACGTCTCCCCGGACGGACGCAGCGTCTTCAGCATGGCGTGGGACGGTTCCGTAGGTGTGCCTGGATTTTGTCCAGGATATAGTTAGGTGATACATGAAACGTTTCAATAAAAACTCTTCTAAGTGTCTAGTCAAATGTAGCACAACT